CTCTTCATCGTCACGACGTTCATGATTGTCGAGCTCGCCGGTATTGGCAACGAAGGTATCGTGTACGGTCTCCTCACGACGGTCTCGAACCTGCCGTCGGCTGTCGGTCCCGTCCTCTCGAACCGTATCTACTCCAACTTTGACGTCAACGAGGACGCGATCATCTCGGACACCAAGCACGTGCGCAACCAGGTCGCGTACACGTACCTCATCTACTACGCGGGCTTCCTCATCGCCTGCTGCACGTCCTTCTTCCTCCCAAAGCAAAAGCTCCAGCTCCACGAGCTCCAGCGCACGGGCGGTCAATTCCCGCTCATCGGCGGCTTCGTCCTCGTCTTCTGCTTCTGCATGCTCGTCTACTCGATCACGTGCAGCATCCTCTCCATGTTCGAGTCGACGTCGTGCTTGCTCATTGCTGGTGGTAGCGGCTGCTAATACGAAACCTCAATACATATGTTTGTGCCGTCCCAAACACACGTCTTCCCATTTGCCACGGCTTGTGCGCCGCCATCATAGTCTCGACCAGATTCGAAGCTGCGGAGCGAAGAGCTCAAGGAGGACAGTTATCACGGTGTGAGATACGAGCGATAGCAAGCTCGTCTTGGTGGCTTCTCATTGCGTCCTAAGCCTTGTAACTCTCTTCATCTTTCGTGCGACGCGGAAACTTCAGGTGTGCGACTACCCCGCAGTCAATACGAATATGAGCGTGCTGGTTTGGCTGAGAACACTTGGCGCGCGTCGCGTCGATAGCTGAGGAGTTGCCATTCGTCTCAGAGCAATGTGCTCGGGGCTCGATGCGACTGCATAAGCTTACGCAGCTGCGCAATGCAGCGGTCGAAACACATGTAGAGAGCTTGACCGATGTGGCGAGGGACCAGGTTGAGGTGGCGGCGTGCAACTGCAGCGTGCTTGAATCACAGTGAATGGCGCCGATTCCGAGCCACTCGTGTCCCACATCGCAGCGTGATGGTTGCATGCGACACGTCGTCTCTCTGAAATTCTCATTGACAGTCGAGTGTCGACGCAAAACCAGAGGTGGTCGAGACCAGAGAGAGGAAGAACCAGTGGAGCAGAACCAGCGACTCGAACAAATAAGATCTTTGCTAGTATTGATGTGCGGGACGATGCGTTGGCGCGTTTATGCGACAGCCGGATCTGTCGTGGATGCCATCATGAGAAGTGTCTCTCGAAGGGCGGAGAAGGCGATGGGCCAGATCTAATTATACTGCGTCGTGATGCTAACGTTCCAGTCGACGCTCGAGCGCAATGCGTTTCCCGTATGGCGCGAGCACTACGTGAGCTACCTCGAGCTCAAGTCGCTTGTTCAAAAGCTCTGGCGCCGCTCGACCTTTCTGCGGCGGCACCAAAAAGGCGACGAGGCGGCGCCGTGCCTCATGCCCCAAGCCAGCGACTTTGAAGCTGTGTTCGTCGCCAACTGCGTCCGCGTGGAAGATTGGTACAGCGCGCGCCTCGGCGAGTTCTCGACCGAGTTTGCACTTCTCGCGCAGCAGTGGACCGCACCACGCAACGACGACGGTGCGACCAAGGTGCTCGAAACGACGTGCATCGAGCTCCACCGCCTCGTTCACGGTCTGTACAACTACGCGCGTATCAACTACACGGCGCTGCGCAAAATCCTCAAAAAATACCTGAAGAAATGCCCCACAGCCAGCGCCAACCACGACAAGCTCCAAGCCGAGCTCCATTCCCAAGCGTTTGCGACTGCCGAGGCCGCGCAGCGATTGGCAGCCGACCTCGAAGCTTTTTACACAGCCTCGTTCCACGACAACGACCGCGTCCTCGCGCTCTCGGAGCTCGACGGCTGGAAGGACGATGCGCTCGACTGGCGACACGTGTACATTGGCCTGAAGATGGGCGTCTGCTCCGTGCTGACGCTCTGGGTCTTGTGGCACTACGTGGTTTCGGGCGTCAGTACACGCGTCGTTTTGTAAGCTACGATGTGATGGGACCGCGCTTCTTACAATTGCCTAGGTCGCAGACCAAGGCGTACCCTGTCTACCGCGGCGTCGCGCTTCTTCTCTTCTTCCACTGGCTCTGGGGCCTCACGCAGTATGTCCTGCACTCGGCGCGCATCGACTACCTGTATGTTTCTTGATGCTAATTCCCTTTACTATGGTGACATTGACTAGATACATCTGCGAGCTCGACCCACGCACGACCGCCGACTACACCCACGTCTTCAACGACGCCAGCGACCTCACGATGGTCTTCTACGCCAACTTTCT